CTTTGTCCCAGTTCACCAGGAGAGATAGATACCCACTAGCACTGGTGCCTTCCCCCAGCCCTTATTTCATATCAGAAAGCTGCAGAGCAGAAAAGCATGTATATTTATTGTCTTCTTAGGGAAAAAGAAAACCTTTTTTTGTGGCTATTTTCAATAGAGGGATGCTGTGTAGTGTAAAGCAGCTGTATGGTGTTGATCTTATGGACAAAGCACTTTTCCTGTTATCTGCTGGTCTTCAGCAGATACATAATGAGAAAAACCTTCATTACAGGTTTTTTGTGGCAATTGTGGCTGCTGCGTAAGAATGGGGTAGGTACAGCAAACACGATTGTTTTCTATTATATCCTTTCAGGCACCAACTGGAAGACGGCCATGCTGGTCCTCAGCCCCTTGGCATTCATACTGGGATTAATAATACTGACACTCAATGTTCATTACAACAAGTAAGTGAGATTAAGGTTCATTCTGTTTGTCACTTCCCTGTCTAGCACTTAAAAACAAAAGTCTTGATCCCAATCCCAAACCTGAAGCGTCTGGCTCTGATGAGATGGCTCTGCTCACCCATGGTGTCACCGTAAATGATTTCTCCTCTCTGCCACCCTGTTTCTCCCTCCCACTCACTATCCCATTCAAATGCAGCCACTTGCATTGGGTCTTCCTCTCCTACACACCTCACACCATCCCTGAAGGTCTGGGAAATTTGGGCACTATGGTTGCTGATCCAGTTCACATGGAGAAACAATCAAAAGACAGGTGGATGTAGGTACGTAACCCTCTTCTCTCTTCTCCTAGGAAGAAGAAAATCCTCTCTGCTCTGAAGAGCTCCCCAGCCAACAGCAGCAGAGCTGACTTGCGGGAGCCATCTCCCTTACGAATAGCTCCCCAGTCGTACATTCCACCATCCCGCTCCCCTTCCTTGAGGCGTGGAGAGATCCTCATTGAGTGGAAAGACGGCACTGTCACTCCTCTTTTTGATAACATCAATTACCAAACGGACTAGCCCTGACATAACAGAGCTGCTGTTCCATCCCGTGTCACTCTTCCCACCAGGAAGAGTGCCACCGTAGCCAATGTCCTCCCTAGCGTTGCTGTTTTGACAGGAAGTTGTAAGCAATATTGGGGATATTTTTAACACTTGAGAACAATCTTGCACAGCACAGTGTTGAAGCAAGCAGAGCAAATTGATTGGTCTGTATAGGCACACGCTGCTTAGCTCTTCCAGAGTCGATCTAACCCGTAACAAAACCCACCAGATGTAGCTAAATGAAGCCAAGACTCTTGTCAGCTGCAACTGTCCATTGCCCTGCAATTCTAGAGTTACTAAGCATGTAAGAAAGTAAATCCTTGGAGACAAGGTGAAAAACAGAAGTTCTGATGATTCTTAGATCCTTTTTAAGATAAAAATAGCTGCCAACAAACACAGAAGGCTGTCATTTTCTTTGTCAATGTGAGAACATAAGAATTAAGCACTGCCTTCAGGACTCAAAAGAATGAAGTCTCCTCCAGATATCTGCCAAAGTACTCCTCACACTAAGTTATTAATTAACAGCATGGCATTTTTCTAACTTAAAAGGTAGCACTCCATCATCCTCTCTGCATCACTGCAGGAGTCCTGCTGAGACAGTATGTATCTCTCAAAATATTTCCATATTTAGGATGTATTAGACCTTATTACAGCACACATCCTCTTTCTTTACGTAGAATGACAAGTAATGCTGGTGATGTTTGTCAGAGATATTACATTATCCAACCATTTTATACCAGCTTCAGTCTCTGGTTTCCTACAGTCACGTGGAATAGTCGATGAACAGATAAACTGCTCCCACCTAGAGCAGTAATACAGCTGTGGGTTTTTTTCCAGAAAGGAGTAAGTTTTCAGCCTTTACACCTGTTTGAGCATAATTAACTGCAACCCATCACATTCAATCCTGATCTTTTATCAGTGAAACTTGCAATATCTTAGTGCTTTCTTAATATTCATTAATTTAGGCTTTCCTTCCCTCTGATCTTGTGATGATGTAAACCATAATCATGGCTATAACTTAGGAATTATTTGGAGAAAGAAATACTAATATCAGGAAATTGCAAGTGTGAGCTGCATCTGTATATCTGTGCAGCGGTGCATGGGAAACTTCATCCTAACCTCTTACTCAGACTTATACAACACTTTTCACTTTACCTGAGTTTTGCTGTTTCAGTGGAGCTTGGACTTCTCCACAGTTTGATTTTATTTAACCTAAGGCAGAAGTAAGGTCTTCAGGGAATTTAAAGTCTCCTATTTTTTTATTATTATTTTTTAAACACAGACCCACAGCCTGGTAAAACAGATTAACTGCCATGAGATACTATGACCAAGAACATAGCTGGTCTCAAGAACGAAAACACGAACCTTATTGGTTCAGGACATAAAATCATAGAGGTTGGAAATGTCTTCCCCCGACAGATTATTCCATAATTATTTATTGGAGGGTTTCCCACATGCTCCTTGGGAAAATATTTTACTACTAGACATGGGCAGAGGAAGAACTTTTTCTTCACCAGTGAGCAGTGAACACAAACAACACAGGCAGAATTAAACTCTGACTTTCCAAGGTTTCCACTTTAAAACAAATCCAAAGACTTCTGGGTCAAGTTTCCAAATGCGTAAGCATTATTTCACACACAAAATTTTTGGGAATACATTCTGTACATAAATTGCTCAAAATACACATGCAGTACCTCACCAATTATCACAGTTACATCCTTTGTACCAATTAAGATGCCTGCCTTTGAAATTTTGTCCAAGGAGCACATCAGCTTACAGTGCATGGCACTTGTTATTCTCCAAAACCTTGACACACTTTGGGAACACGATGTATGCAGTGTCATTAAAATGCAAATACTTACTTGGATTTTAGCTAATGGTGTGCTTTCCAAAGCTGTAAGTGCTTGTGTTCATTACTGCTGAATAGGCAGAACCGATGACTTGTTAATGACTCTATAATTCATACTTAATATGTTCATCTTGCTCATAAACATGAAGGCAGTAACATGACTGTTTACATAGCACTGATTAAATGGTAGCTCAAACAGCAATGAAAAAGTAAGACTGTGAATCAGCACAGGCTTTTAACTATCTTCTTCCCCTCTCTTTCACTGGTTGCCCTCTTCTAGTTATTTCTCACTGGTTTACTTACAGCAGATGCTAGATACCAAACTTTCCAAGGTATGGACAGAGGAGATGAAGGTGAGAGTCTTCCTCACAAGGGGTCTTAAAAAGCACATTAGGCAAACATTCATCAGGAATTCATCCAAAATGGCCAATTCTGCCTTGGGGCTGGACCAGGTGACAGTGGGAGACACCTTCCATCCTCTGCTTCTGAAGCCAGCTGAGAAAGACCCAGAGCAATTGCACAACCTGTGTTCCGTTCACTCTCTGCCATCACCTGAATTCAATGCTTTTAAACAGTGCTTATAATTAAAATAAAACCTGATTGTCAAGTGGAGAAGCACTGAAATGGTTAATGTGTGTATACATAAACATATATATGCTCCCTCATAATGCACCCTTTTTAGATATCTGTGAACACACTGAAAGTGGGCTTTTATAGATCACGCTACAAGAAGACAACAGAGTGATAAGCAAGAAACCCCTGTCACAGTGGCACTAACATTAATGTATGCTGCACAGCTGGAGAGTAACACAATACCAAACTACCACCCATATTTCTCAGCCCAGCTATGCTGCATTTCTGGTAGTGCAGGTCTTCTCCAGGAATGATGTGATGCTGATGCCTCAAGTTTCACTCCTACAGCAAGTGGAAGACAAAGTGGAAGTAGAACCCACTTTCTCATACACTTATCTTCTTTGTGATGTCCAAGTGTCTAAGCAGCAAAGGCTAGAGGAGATGTAGGGAAGAAGGGACATTTGCTTTCCCCTAAAGTTCCCTGAGATTCAAGAAAACGTCATTCCTCACCTCAAAAATTTTAATTTATGTACCAAAATATCTCAAAGATTATGTACCATTATTATGAACTGAATGTGCATAATCATACACAGTGCTATCAACCTCAGCTCCCAGAAATGTCAACGACTAAAGAGGGGACCACAGGAAAGCTGATGTAGGTGACCACATCAGTACCAGGTCAGGCTACTGCAATGATCTACCATGAGTATCTGCAGCACATGGCTGCAGGCTGGAGCCACAGAAACACAGATACTATCAAACGGACACAGGACTGCACATTAGCTTTGATATTCTGTGCATAAAATGCTGTTTTAAGCAGACAGATTTCCGTTTCCCAACTCCCTGAATAATGTACAGCCAAGATATCTGTTAAAGAGCAAAAGGGAAAAAAAAGAGGCAAAAGAACTTCAAATTTACCATTTAAATACTGTACGTCAACTCTTTACTAAGACTCTTTGGATGGAAAATGTTTTCATAACAGTACATTAGTGATGTACATAAATTCATGATACAAACAAACAAGACCTGAAATGATTTGACAAGTTATCACAGCGTATCTGTGGAGGAGTTGGGAACAGAACTACTGCTTCTTCATTTGAAATGCAAGGTGCAACTTCTGCAGTACACATTTTGTTATTAAAAATCTCCATATGCTCATTTTCTCAACTCTGTAGTTCTACATCAGCAAGTAAGGGAATGAAGCATTTGATTTTTCAAAATTATCTGTGGTTGTTCAGCACGTCAAGGGGGAAATAATAATAAAAAAAGTAACAAGAAAAGGGACAGAGGGAGTCTTTGTTAGCTCTGGTTTTCAGATACCTCTGGCTCATAGGTCAAACAGACCATGCCCTTTTGCGTTAGCTAGGTGAGACAATAGCACAAGCTCTTTCAAAGCTTCTCACTGAATTTGTATAGCTTTACAAAACAAATCTACATTTCTGCAGCCATGGAGTTCTTCTCCTGATTAAAAAAAAAAAAAGCAACTCCCCTAAAAAACCCCCAAAAAAGCAGGCCACGTTTCTTGAAAAATCCCCTTATCCTTCACAAAACTGTTTACTCTTTGGTGCTGAGAAACTGATGTACTTCTTTCAGCATAGCTTGCATATCTTCATATTCTGCATATTTGCAAGCATCCTCCAGCTTCAGCCATTGGAAAGCTTGGTGCTCCTCTGAGAGCTTGATTTCTGTGTTACAGTCCTTCATCTCTGCCAGCCAGTAAATGACAGTCTTAGGTTTGCCACGGACAGGATAGTGCAGTTCTTTCTTGTACCCCTCTATGAGGGTGAGCTGATTGGCCTGAAGACCAGCCTCTTCCTGTGTTTCCCGGAAGGCTGTCTGTAGGTCATCCTCTCCTGGATCCACATGGCCTGTCAAGAAGGTGAAAAAGTAAGTCTCCAAGAAGGAAATTCAGATTTTGTTTATTCAGTTTGCAGCTAGGAAACACTGGGATGCAGAGATGACAGTACGCTGTAGCTGATACAGAATGAAATGGAAATTGGAAAGCAGAGATTGCTTTTCCAGCACTTATGCTTTGATTTGTCTTTGTCTCATGGCTTTCAGGATCATTGTTTATCTCATATCTTCTGAAACTCCCAGTGCCTGTCAGCACTAGACATCTTTTTCCCAGTCCTCCTCTCCTCTTCTACAGCACTTTGCACCCATAATCACAGAATTACAAAAAAGTCTGGGTTGGAAGAGAACTCCAAATATCATCTGGTCCACCCCTCTGCAATGAGCAGGGACATCCAGAGCCCCATCCAGCTTGACCTTGAATATCTCCAGGGATGTTCTGCCTTAGATCACACTGAGGACTGAATGCTTTTCCTTTATCCAGTTAGAGGGAGAGACTGCTCATCTGCAAGAGTCTTAGTCCTCTCTCAACCCTTCCCCTCCACTTATTTCTCTCCCATATTCCCCTCTGAAGCACAGCAAACCTAAAATCCAGTCCTTTCATCAGCTGCATAGTTCTTCTAGGACACGTCATTTATTTTACATTGCTCAGAGTAAGAGGTGCCATTACAAACAAGGGATAAATATAACACATCCCTAGCTGTTTGTACGTTTGTTGAGAAATGTCAGACTTGGTTTTCTCATGAAAACTCCAGACCAGAACATAAATAGAACAAGCCAAGCAAGATCTCAAAAAAGCAACATAGCAGGAGTTGGGAAGCTTCAAGAGAAAAAAAAAGTTAAGCTCTATTTTGCCCCTGGTGTCATTCTATTTTCTATGCAGCTGGCTGCAAACAGACATAATTTAATCACAGAGATGAATCTTTCCTCAGGGCCCAGGTATCAAACACCACCCTTTAGTACTAGAACTGGGGTAAGGGGGAAGCTCATTTTGCTTTCCCAACAGGTCTCGCTCACTTTGTCTGCGTATCAGAAGCTTAATGACCTCTTATAATGCAACATCATCTCAAGTGTAAAACACACTTCAGTTTCAGCAACAGTGCAGAAAACAGTGTTTGATGTTGCATTTGATGTCTCTGATATTTGTAGTCAAATACACTGAGGCTTACTTAAGTAAAAATATTTTCCCCCTGATTCTCAGCACTGCAAGTAATGCTATCTCCTTCTTTCTGACAAAGTGTTTCCAGAGCTGTTAATTTTACTAATAGCTGAGAAACAGAATCCACTTTGCCTTGCACAGCTGAATTACTTTTATAATATTCAGAGCAAATGCCTGCAGAACATCCACGAACAGTAAATAACCACTAGCTCTTATGATAATCATGATTGGTAGTCACCAAATGCTCAGTGAGTTGAGGTAGCAGTAAAGCAGGAAGGCTGAGATTAAGCTCTAACTCGAAAGACACCAGTGCACCCTCTTGCTCTCCAGCAAAGTGAAAGGCAATCATCTCACCTTGCTGATGATAGCCTCAAGTCTAAGCTCAGTAAATTTCCAACTTTGTACAATACAGTCTGCCTACTGGGAGGAAAAACGACTGCTGGCAGCATCTCGCTTAACAGCTTCCATATCCTCCTGCACTAATGCAATTCCAGTACTAAGGAGGAAAATGAACCCTGCATCCCCTGCAGTCAGCCTTGGATAGCGCAACATCACAGTTCTAGGAGAGATGAGGCTGGCAATCCAAGCAAGTTCAGTTTAATCCCATAAGGTTTGCACAGCTGCTTTGGGAACTTTTAAAATATCAATGTACAGCTGTATTCATAAATTGCCTTTTGCGTGCTCTTGGAGAGACCATTACAACTTCTCATTCTGGCTCCTGCCACATTAAATCTATGTCTGCATCATATACAAGTTACATTACTGCACCATACAACCCAAGGCTGCCTTTGAAGACCTCTTATATCGCAGCAAACACATAATGTAATAGCTCCCCCTCACTTATTGCTCCCAAATCTGTACCAAACTACTATTAAAGGCTGACATCAGATTGTGGCTTTTGATCTATAAAACCTTAAACAATATGGTGAGGGAGGTGATTCTGCCCCTCTTCTGGAGTATTGTGTACAGCTCTGGAGTTCTCAGCACAGGAAAGACATGGACCTGTTGGAGCGAGTCCAGAGGAGGCCACAAAAATCACCAGAGAGATGGAACTTTCTTATGAGGAAAGACTGACAGAGTTGGGGTTGTTCAGCCTGGAGAGACCTTATAGTGGCCTTTCAATGCTTAAAGGGAGCCTATAACAAAGATGGGGACAGACTTCTTAGCAAGGCCTGCAGCGACAGGACAAGGAGTAGCGGTTTTAAACTAAAAGATGGTAGACTCAGCCTAGAGATAAGGAAGACATTTTTTACAGTAAAGGTGGCAAGACACTGCCCAAGGCTGCCCAGAGAGGTGGTGGTGCCTCAGTGCTGTGAGGTTGGAACTAGATGACTTTTAAAGGTCCCTCCCAACCCAAACCATTCTGTGATTCTATGATTTTGAGTGCCCAAGATGTATGCCTGTGAGTCATTTCATTCCCTACTAAAATGCCTAAGTCATTTCAATCACTTGTTCAGAATTACTATGTTCCTAGTGAACCTTTCCACATGGGTCTCTCCTTCTGCGACAACCAATCACATACCAGCGCATGTTTATTTAGCTTAACAGACGGCTGCAAGCTCTACTCCCTTAGGCTTTTGGTGAAGTGGACAAAGGGGAAGAAGGTTTGGAAAGTTTTGTTCTTTCCCTTAATAGGAGAGCGTTGTTGATACTGTTACAAGTTTTTTTTTCCAATTTGCAAATTCCTATTTATGAACTGCTCCTGCACTATGTTTTAAAAGCACTGTGTTTTACAAAACAAGAAGTAAAAACTAGCAGGAAGGTAGCTTTTTACCAGAGGTAAAAAAAAAGCACATAAGAAGATGTACAAGGAACCATAAGTATTTCTGTGCTGCACTTTGTCTGGTACCAGGACCGAGACTACATACTACTACACACCGACTCTGCCATGTATCTTTACAGACAAAGTGCTGCTATACATCTTGAGGCACCAGGCTTGTCTTCTCCTTCAGGACCTCACTGGTGACTGAGGATGGCTTAGGTGAAGATGGCTGATTAGGTTACTTCTCCTAGCTGTCCCTCTCATCTCTGCTGCACTAGGCATATGCTTTTCATCAATTATCTCCTGAACTTAAAGAAAACCCTACATCTTCTAAGAAAGGCACTGGAAAGTAAATAATCATTTCCTACATAAGAAGGATGTTGAGATTCTGGAGCGTGTTCAGAGAAGAGCCACAAGGATGGTGAGGGCTCTGGAGAACAAGCCTTATGAGGAGCGGCTGAGGGAACTGGGGTTGTTTAGCCTGGAGAAGAGAAGGCCGAGGGGAGACCTCATCACCACCTACAACTACCTCAAGGGAGGTTGTAGAGAGGTGGGTGCTGGTCTCTTCTCCCAGATGATGGGAGATAGAGCAAGGGGATATGGCACCAAGCTGTGCCAAGGGAGCTTCAGGTTAGAGATAAGGAGGAAGTTCTTTACGGAGAGGGTCGTCAGAAGCTGGAACAGGCTGCCCAGGGAGGTGGTGGAGTCACCATCCCTGGATGTATTTAAAGAGCGGGTAGACGAGGTACTTAGGGATATGGTTTAGTGGGTAGACAGGAACGGTTGGACGTGATGATCTCAGAGGTCATTTCCAACCGAGCGATTCTGTGTGTGATCATTGATTCCAGTTTGCCTTCTAATGTTGCACGGCAAACTGTAACCCTTCTGATTATACATGGGTCAAACAACTGTGCATTTGAAACAGCAGTATCTGGCAGAGGGTCAGACTTAAGCAAGAAGGTAAAAAGAAGATAAAAATTTTTATAGCTACCTAATTTCAGTTGTCCACTCAATGTCTGCCAGAATCATCAGACATCTGAGAAGCAGGATTGGGTGACCTGTCCCCAGCCCCAGTCTGTTGTGCCCAACAGTTTACATGGCCACAATTTGCAAATAATTTCAGCTCCACTCTGCTGCACAAACCACATTATCAGTGGCTACTGTCAATTGATTAACTGTCCCCCAAAGCTGACCTCAGCAGTGTTCAGCCAAAGTTCAGTCTGTAATCTCACTCACTCCCGACACAAACAATTCTGAAGTGTGTTATCAGAACAAACATCACCTTTGGGTGGAGTCCAGTGATGGGTCCCATAAGATGTCTGAAGGAGGAGGTATTCAATACCGTCAGTAACCTTAGAAGATGGTGCTGACTGCAGCCTCCTGTAGATGATCAAGCCACAAGCTCTCACAGCCATGTCCCTCCCTTAACTGCAAGAAAGCTGTGGAAGAGCAGAGAAGGTCAAGCAAGAACAGCATAAAACATGGAGCTCAAACAAACCAGTCATATTTAGCCAGAAAACATATCTCATCATGGGCTAAAAGTCAACCCTCCCTTTGTAGCTACTACACAACTAAACTGCACATTATTAACTCTTTTTGAATTGTAAAAAACTGAGTACTTTCCTTTTGAAACAAGGAAACAGGAACCTACAAAAAAGCTTTTTTAAAAAAAAGTTATCAAGAAACATAAAATATGAGCTGCACGATACCTCATTTGGTGCTGATATATTACAAACCACACTGTGGGGAGAAAAAAAATTATAGAGCAAAAGGAAAGCCACACTTTCTCACTGCAAAAATCCAAAGGCTCTGTGCAAAAGTAATACCTCAACATTACTGGAAGTGGCATACAGAAATAATTGCCCAAGACAGATCCCCTGCAGTAGTGAACTCCTCAAGGTGCCAGAGGCAGACCTGAGAAAATGAATGCCAAAGGACAAATTCTGTGCTGTCTGGGCTAGACATGAGGCTGTTATACAAAACTAAAGCTTCTTGGCACATACATAAGCACTAATTTGATGTAAATGGAAAGGACACCTCTTGAGTGACAAATACTGTAAACAATAAGCTACACAGCCGTATAGAACAACCGGTCTTACACAGAAAGAGAAGGCACAGGAGAAATCCATGTTAAAGAATCCATCAATTCCCAGTTCCAAAGCCATGCATTTTAACAGAGCCACACATTTCAGTAAGTTTACAACAGTACTGGTTTTCCCTGGGATGCTCAGTGAGGCAACCTGACAACTCCAGTTTCCAAAGGGAAACCACAGCAAAGAGCCCTTCACCACCACCCAAGCCCCAGGCTGGCGCTCAGCTCTCTCGGTTAACCCCTCTTTAACCGCCACAGTTAGTATCTGATCAGCCGTGTCAACGATATGGCCGATATCATGATGATATACAGCTGATATCCTTGCCTACCGCCACCTACCAAACCCCCGGGCAGTGCAGGACCCAACGCCGGCTACTTTGGAGCCAAGAGGCTGCCCGAGGCGGGAGCCTAGCACCACCTCCCGTGCGCGCCTGGAAACGCCGCCCTGGGAGGCCCAGAGCCTGGAAGGACAAACCTCCCCAGGGGACGTCAGGCCAGCGGTCCCCGGCTCCC